GAGCGTTATAGTGTTAGTAGTTTTGGATTTGTTATTGATTCGAGACCGAATCAATTCGTTTGATAACGATTGTTGGTGATATTGTGTATTGTAATTTATCGAGAGTCGTAGTGTCAATCTTTGTTCACAACGAGTGTATTGAATTACCCTTGAAAATTTTCTGTTTACAACCCCTCTTAATTTTGTAAATTTACTTTTTCACCCCTTTAGGTAAAATAATTTCCGGTTTAGTCCTTAAACCATTTTTCTTGACATTTTAACACCAAAAATTATTGAAATTAATATTTTTCAGCATATTTTTCATTTAAAACAGTTTAAGTCCCTGAAATTGCAGTTTTCTCGGTTATAACCCCTCTTTTTCGCAATTTTTACATTTTTGGCCCAATTTGGAAAATTTTTGCAACTTTGGTCCTTTTTAAATTTGAAAAGCGTTTTAAACCTTTGAAAAGTACATGTAACACTAATAGTCCACTGTTTTACAGGAAAACACAGTTTTGGCCCTCCAAAACAGAAAATTTCGCATAATGGGCCCTATTGGGCCGAAATTGTCATTTTTAGCCCATTAAGCTTGAAATTTATGTTTTTGATCTTCCAAAAGAGTATATTTTCAGAAAATACATTATGGAATCTGTTTTGACTCATCTCACCCATCAGATTTCGAAATATTTCATTTTGGGCCCTTTAACTTTGTATTTTTAACATTTATGTCAAAAAAATGAGTTTTTAGCCCAAAGTATGTATTGTTAAGCCACTTAGCTATTTTTCTTGGTATACTTTGTATGTAGTAGTATATTTCATGCTAGTATAAGATATATCTCGGTTTTTAGCAATTCATAACTAGATCTAGCATCAAAATCATACAAAACATACATATAAGCATAGAAATCAACCAAAACATACACATAATGATGGATCTACACCTTTACTTGTATTCTCCCCCACAAAAACTTATAAAAACCGAAAATAAGGGGGTATGAAGCTCACCTTGAGTTGTAGTTTCGGTTTTGAAGAGAGAAAAGAAGAAAATTTCGATCCTAGCAAGTCTCCTTGGTAGATCTCGAGTTTAGTGACTTCTAAGGTGCATGATCACAAGTTGGAATAGATTTAGAAGAGATTTTTGATGAAATGAAGTAGCTAGATCATGGATTAGTCATCAACTTACCTTAGATGATGTGTTTGTGGGAAAAACCTCCTTGAAAAGCTCTTGATTCTTGAAATTTTTGAAGAAGGAGGAAGGAGATGTCCTTCAAGACTTAGAGAGAATGAAATGGATTTTTGTGAGTGTGTGTGTGTTGTGTTCAGCCGAGAGCAAGAAGAGAGAGGAGAGGAGTGTGGTTCTTGAATTGATTTGCATGAAAACATGAGATGGTGCATGGGAGTCCTATGGATAATTATGAGGTGGCATAGGAAAGTCAACTCTCTTTCTTTGGTTGGGCTTGGGCCGAGCTTTGGAGAGAAAAAGATGAGTATTGGGCCTTGTATGCTTAAGCCCATTTCATGGTTATGTTAAGTGATGTTTGGCCCCAATTAATTATAAATGTGATTTTTATGAGCTACTTAAGGCTAAATTAGGTTAATTATGGTCCAAAATAGTTCATAATATTTGATTTATTTCATTCTAGGCCCAATATGGCCCAATATGTTGAAATAAATGAAAGTGGGTCCAATTAGAGCCCATTTAAGAGTTCTAAACCCAAGATAGTCAAATTGGAAGTTTATTGGTCCATTAGGCCCAATAAGGAAGTTCTAGTCCAAAATGGACCTAAATAAGAACTTCTAGGGTTTCCAATTGCTTGTTGACTATTTGTAATGCTTGTATGGTGTATTTGATTGCAATTTTGTTGTCACAGAGTAAGCATCATACATGCCCTTATGTTTTTGGATTCATAATCCGGCTTAAGTGTTGTAGTTACAAGGTACAAAATTTCTAGTTGTGACAAGGGGTAAGCCAACACCCAGATATGCTAGGAAATATGTGATTTATGTGTATATGCTATGGTATTATGTGATAGTGGTAGGGGTAAAATATTCATTGGTTATGGGTTGAAAGAGACCGAAGGGGTAGGCCAACACCCAGATATGTTAGGCAGTTACTGGTTGAAATAGACGAAAGGGGTAGGCCAACACCCCAGATATGCTCGGTAATATGTTATTGTATTGTATGTGGTATTATGGGGGAACTCACTAAACTTTGTACTTACAGTTTTCAGTTTTGGTTTCAGGTACTTCCTCTTCGAAGGGAAAGGAGCCGGCATGATCACTGCGCATCACACTACGTTTTCCGCACCAGAGATCTTTGGAATTGTTACTCTGATTTTGTTTTAGCATTAAATGTTTTGACTATCGATACTTTGGATTTGATATGAGTTGATACTATGATTGTATTCAAACAAATGGTTTTATAACTGTTTTATTAAAAATGAATTTTTGGTTGTAATTTTTAGGATGTTACAGTTATGTTTCAGGTAGTTTTGATGATCGGGGCAAGGCGATTTGTTGATCGTTCACATCCTTCATATTTTATGAGATTTGATCTTGGGATACTCTTATTTGTGATTTTGACATTTTGGACACTATTTTTCTGAAAATTTATGTTTTTTGGTTAGTTTTGAAAAAAAAAAAATTATCTTGACACTGGGATGTTACAGACCTGATTCCTAATAGCTTCATAATGGATGAAGTTTCCTATTTTATCCATTAGAAAGCTCCAAACCATAAAGATCTAGATTTTAAGTATGAAAGGGACGGAAAAATGCATCTTTCTCTACTTAATTCATTAAGTTCAAGTCTCCAACCTTCAGATCTGAATCAACATTATTTTTAGATGAATAAAGTTTCCAACTTTATCCATAATAATGTTACAAACTTTCAAGATCTAAACTTTCAATATATAATAAAAAGTTAATTGATGTGTATTATTGGTTCTAATTGTTATTAACTATTTTACTTTATTATGCTAATATGACTACTCATTGAGCTTGTTAAGCTTACGTTGTAGTCTTTGAATTGCTTTTCCAGGACCAGTAATACCTATAGGGGTTAGGGTGCAACCGAGTGATTTAAGATTGTGAAGTTCATGTATAGTTTTGACATTTTGTTGTAAAAAAACTGTAACTACACGGCTCAGGTCCTCTACGCATTTTGCTATTGTATGTATTTATAACTACTTGTATGTTGTGGTTTAATATGAATGCATACTTAGTATTTTGTTTTATAAAAGTGAAAACATGTGGGTGTACTTTATGTTAAATCAGTAGGTGTTATCAATAATGTCATTCCATCATAAATGAACATGTGTGAAGGTTTCTAGGGAAAGGATGGTTTATAAAGAAGCTTTGGGGTGTATTAGCTTAGTTGGCATCCTACGCAACTAAATGAATCCATGTAGGCAACATGTATTCCAAGGTTTATCGTTTGGTATGATGGAAATATGATAAAAGCTTTAAATAACAAAACTTATGAAAATATAAGACATTAATGGACATAAAATATGTTTTAGGGTAAAATTGTTAATTTCTTACAAACTTAAGGGTTTCTCTGACAATATCATTGTTTAAATTGGTTTGATTGACGTAACAGTTTTGATCTGTATTATCGTATTGACTCCCCAACTTTTTTAATTTGATTTTCGTTTAAAAAATAATGAAAACAAAAAAAAAATTAAGAATAAATAGAAATACTTAGACAAAAAGCCTATCACAAAAAATGAAAAAAAATCGACCGATTATTGTCATATTCAACACGGAGCATTAATAAGTTTTTAGCTTCTAGCATTTAACAAAATGTTTCGTTTTAAACAAAAACAAAAATTCGGTTTGGCACAAGTTTTTAGCGTTTAATTTAAACAAAACACTCCAAATTTAAAAAGCTATATCATGTATCGTTTAACAAAACGTTGCTAACTAGTTTTACCGAACACGCTCTATATTAATTATTTTATTTTATTTTTCATTTCTGTTAAAGATCCATCAATTTTCATTATAATTTATACATCTTAATCTATAGTCTAAATCTTGACCGATTTTGATTGGAGGTTAATTACGTTTTTATGTTTTCTAAATAAAAATGTTAGGGATGTTACACACAAAACAAAAAGCAAAGCAGGATGTATAGCCATCATGTATACAATTTTCTTTTTCTTTTTTTTCATTTTTTAAACTATAATTATTGAATCCATGAAGTTTTCTTTTATAATAGTACTAGTTTATAACTCGTAGAAACCACGGTTATACAATTTATTAAACTTTTAAAATAAAAACTAAAAATTATTAAGCAAATATTTTAAATAAATTATTACTTAAGAGATATTTTTAGTTATGTAAATTTATCTATTGATTTAAATAAATATATGAAATTATATCACTTTATAATTTGTATTAAGTTTATTTTAATTTTTATTCTAATATTATTAATTTATTGTAATTAGAATGAGAAATTTATAATTTGAAATTTAAAATATAGAATAATATGATAACACATAGCAAAAGAATAATAAAATATGCATTAACTAAAAGATTTAATAAAATAAAGAATAATAAAATATGCATTAACTAAAAGGTTTAATAAAATGACACGTATCAAGAAAAGAATACAACTATTCTTTTATTTAATAGAGAAGATTATGTTATCTTATACATCTATTAATTCATTGATTAATAAATATTTAATTTTAAAGACTTATAATTTATAAAAGTTCAAATTTAATACAAAAGTATAAGCAATTAATCCAAGAAGTGTCACAAAATCATTAATAGCCCAAATCAAAATGGAAGTTGCACATGCTTGAAGAAGAGGATGCCACAGATATGACAAATTATCTTTAGTTCAAATTCCAATTCCTTTTAATTAGGCAAATCCCCTTCATTCAAAAAACATTCCACAAGCCAAATGTCCCCCTAATTCTCATACAAAACCACAATTTCTTTTCCAATTACAAGGAAAACACCTTATGACCAAACAAATGTTATTTTTTTTTTTTAAAAAAAAAAAAAAAAAAACACTTAAAGCAACTTGACACCTGCTTCCCTTAAAGAATCAATAACAGCTCTAACTTTTCCATGGTATCTTTGCTCTTTTTTATACACCACAGAAACCGCCGGAATATCTTTAAGCAGCAACCTCTCACCTAAAAGCTTCCCTATCTTGGCGGCAGCCGCCACATCTCTGGTGCTTTGCTGGCTATTATTCCATGCTTCCCGGAGAGCCTTCTCCTGTGAGCTGGCGGCAGACGCCACGGTGGCAGTTGGTGCATGGATCACCTGTGCACTTACGTATTTGTTTGAAAAATGCATCTTTAAAAGATACGGTTTTAAATAGTTTGTGATCCTTTGAGCCTTCACTGGTGGAGGAATCACCATATCTGTTTTAAAAATAATTTATTGATTATAAAAGTGAATTTATTGAAAATCAAGAAATAATGGCTTTTTAGGTAAAAGGTTCATAATGTAATTGTAACAGCTTTTGTGACAAGTCACTTGCAAACAAAGACAGATTGGAAATTATTATATATAGTAATTATATATAGTTTTGTATGTTGGTATGTTGGGTCCCTGTGTAGAAAATAAATTATAAAAACTGTTCCTGTAATTTACATAAAAGGTCTATGTGCAGATTTTTTTTACAGAAACGGTCCATGTGTTTAAGACTTTACTATGTTATTTCCAGAAAGTTCATATATGAAAAAGCTGCATTTAAAGGGTTATTCTATAGTTGGACAACTTGTAGATTTTTAGGAAAGGGTAAAAAGGAATCATAGCATTCTTAAGAAGTTAAGGGATGTAGTTTTCATGGTTTTTTAAAACTTCTATAAAGTTAATTTTTGGCCCAAAGAGACTAATCTAAAAATGCTTAAACTTGCAACAAATATCAATTTAGCACTGAAATGCTACTAGGTTTTGAGATGCCAAATGACAATATTGTTCTTATTTGAGACCTGTTAAATGTTAAGTTGACTAAGCTAGTTTCCAATCACACAAGATACAAACAAATGTTTCATGAAAACAAGAAATAATGCAAATAACTGAAACAACGCAAGATAAAACAATAGATGTTGGAGAAAAGATATGTAAATCAAAGTTTTCAATCTTATTCTATCCCACTAGTCTGTGATAAGAGGCTTTGTTGTTGCAGCCATCTTTTACAAGCTACTCCAATGTTTAGGAGATTGATGTGTTCGAAACACATAAAAATCCAATTTTAATTGTAATTTTTCTCTTAGGCATTTCAGCAAACAGTTGGTGCGATAGTTAATTTATTTTGCCAAAAAAAAAACACAGAAGTAGATGTGGCTTTCATCGTATTAAGATTCTGACATCGTGGCTCACCATCAATTTTCTAAAGGTATGCAATAAGAACGAGGAAGCTCGAAACAAACCCTAATAAATTTAATTCAATTTTTTCAACAAACCCTATTCAATAACTTGTGTCTTTCATTACAAAATGGCAACGAGAACATCAAGCCTATACAATTTGATGTCAAAATATAGTATAATCTAAATAATTCTAAGGGATCAAAGGAATCAATTTTTGGGTATAATGAGTCAGTCATACAATCAAATAATCACACAATACATAGGAATTTTCGAAGTGTTGAAACTTACCTTCTTGTTTCTAGTAGAAACGGCAGGAGAAGATGGTGGAGCTGAGAGGAGAAAGCTGCAGCAGTCGGAGCGTGAAAGAACTACCGACAGAGGTTCAACGGTATTCAGTATACAGGACGCACTATGCACTTCCCTTGTGATTTAATTACCAGTTAGCTCAGTCTCAAACAATCGCTACATTACATATTCGATCGGCCCAACCCAATATGTTTCAAGTTTCAAACTGCCCATTAAGTTACTTTGAAAAAAAAAAAACAAAATAAATAAATAAATAAATAAAATTAAGTAATCACACCATTTTTTGGGGTTTTTTAAAGAGTAAATTATTCAAATGGTCCGTATAATTTAGACTAATTTACATGTTTGGTTCTTAATTTTTCTTTTTTATTCGAATCGTCCCTATGATTTAATTTTATTGCATCGTTGGTCCTTGATAAACTTAAAATGACCAATATACCTTTATTTTTCTAATTTAATTGTTTTGTTTATTTTTAAGTTATTAAAAGAAATTGTTTAATATGTGTGGTCCCACCCACCTCCCATCATCCTTCCTACTGAACTGTAACGTCCGTAGATCCAGACTAGTCAATTTAGAGACGATAAGCATCAAAAATGATTTTTTGATGGAAGATTATTTAGAATGATTAATCTTAACCAAGCTGTAGTATATGTCGCAAAGTTTCCGTACATATAAAGAACGCCAAAATCCGAGTTATAACGAAGAAGTTATGACCTGTCGAAGTTTCGCGACAGAATCGGCATGACCCAGCGCGACGTAAATAGTGAATTTAAGGTAGATAGATGTCTATCCTTAGTGATCTAAACGAGAGTCAAAGATGTCTTCGATAGTAGTCCAACGATGAAAAGACAGACGAAAACGAAGTTCAAATGAAGGAGTTATGAATTTCGAACGGAGTTTTCAAGTCCCGGTCTACTAAAGATAATATATAAGTAATATACTTATAATATATTAGAAATAAAGTCAAAATTAGCCAATGGAGTCTAAACGAGAGTTGTAGATCATAATCTCACCTTCGCGTCAATATAAAGAACGTCGAAAACGGAGTTCGTATGCGAAAGTTATGAATTTCTGAAGTTCGGGGCGCGAACCCCAAAGCTGTGTCAGAGACCACGACGTGGCAAGTCTTCTGACACCTCCGGGAGTCCCCCAGATGCAACTTGTGATGACGCATGCAATGACGTTCAAGCCCACGACGTATGAGAAGTGCGCACGACGTGGAAAATGAGAAAATAACCCTATAAATAGATTTGAAGGGGCAGCCGTTTGTGGTTGCCAAATCTCTCTTCTCTCTCCCATATTACATCGCTTTACATGCAATTTTAACCCACCGAAGCCCCAGTATCAACCCCGAGACCCGAAGAAAGTCCTGAAGCCCGAAGATCCCGAGAAGAAAAGAGTTTCCAAGCCGAAGCTCTGCCCACGAGAAATCCGGTGTGTGAAGTGATCCCGGTTTCACCGAAGAATACTACTTCTACAAGTCATAGTACTGTCCGATCATTTTCTGATCAAGTGAGTGTATAGTTACTTTCATCTTACACATAGATATGAAGTATTTTATAAAATATGTGCTATGTATATATATATATATATATATATATATATATATATATATATATATATATATTGTTGTTTATATGTGTGAGTGTGTGGTCACTTTCTTCTAACAGATAAATATTAAGTATTTGCTATGAAATACGTGCTATGTGTATAATATAAAGTTGTTTATATGTGTGGGTGTATAGTCCCTTTCATAAACACGATATTAATACAAGTATTGTTTGAATGTATTAAGTATATGTTTTGGGTGAGTGTGTAGTCACTCTTTTCTAACACATAAATATTAAGTATTTGCTATGAAATACGTGCTATGTGTTTATACATTGATTGCTTATTTGAGATGAGTGTGGAACGGATGTTTTACATAGTTTTTAAATGAGTTAAACTGTATATGTATTTTATATCTACAAATATGTTTGGTAGAACATGGGTAGATGACATAGTTGGTATGTGATAAAATGATGAGGTATGAAAGATGATTACGAATGATATTAGCATATGCGCTTAAGAATAATATCGGTAGATGCACCAAGTAGTGAATGTCGTAATCTTGGCATATGCGCTTATAGGATAATGTCGGCAGATGCGCCAAATAGAGATGTCATAATACTAGCAGATGCGCTTAAGAATACAATTGGTAGATGCACCAAATAGAGAATGTCATAATACTAGCAGATGCGCTTATAGGATAATCCTGGCAGATGCGCTTATAGGATAAGGTCGGCAGATGCGCCTAATAGTGAATGTCGTAATCCTGGCAAAGGCGCTTAAATGATAAAGTTAGTAGATGCGCCTTAAATAACAGTGGAATTCCTGTCTATTCCTTAAAGTCAAAATTTAGGAATGAATGAATAAAGGATAGGTGATTCTTAGGGTAAAACCTTAAGAAATAAAGAAGATAATAGGGATGGGTAATTGGGTTGATTGTTTGATGATTAAATATAATAATTATATTATTGTGGGTTGAAAACCCTATATGCTCACCAGGCTCCCAAGCCTGACCCACTCAGTGTAATTGTATCATAGGTTTTGATACGAAGATGCTTTGCACTGAGAGATTAAAGGAGATGTAAATCACTAGGTTAAAATGAATGTATGTTCAGTTTATGCTTATGTGTCTGTATCGGAACATGACATCCCGAGGTTTTATTATTTAATGAAGATGCATTCTCTTTGAGAAATGTTTTGATAAGTTTTTATCATATCTTGTTTTGGGAACAAATTCCGCAACCGTTTTCTTTAAACGATTACTCTGATTTAAAAAACAAAGCATAAACGAATCGGTCTTTTCTGGCCGAGAAATTGGGGATGTCACAGTTGGTATCAGAGCATTAGTTTAAGCGAACTAGGAATTTGTAGGAAATTTCTATACTTAAACTTAGAATGCTAAGTAATGATCGTGAGGAATGTGTCTAAAATATGTTAGGTAGTACACCTAAATTGACAAAAGCACTAGTTTATATTAGGAAGGATGCCTAATATGCTTTTATGTGCTAAATGTTATATGTTTCCTTATATGATATTATTTATTCAGATCTATGGTCTGTTGCCGAGCGGATCTGGAAACCTTATGTGTTTAGGATTCTAAGCGTATGACTACGATATTAGAACTAGCATGTTAACGTTTTCGGAGTGATAAGGATGATTTGAATATCTATCGTGAATAAGGATCTAATTTCACCTTATTCGGTGTATAGATCAAAAATGGTGAGAACAAGAAGTGTAGTTGGAAATGCTGATGAAAACAAGAATCAACCACTAGTGATTGAGCAAATACCTGTCATAGCAGTAGCACCTGAGCCGATAACAATGGCTGGTGTACAATTGATGATTCAGACGATGTTGGATCGTCAGATGGATGAAACGAGACGTCTGCTTCAACAGAATCGTGAAGAACTGTTAATTCAAGTGGAAGAGCCCAAAGTGAATGAAGGGCACTCAGAAGGTGGAAACTTCAGTGGATCTGTTGGTCAAGCTAACCCACCGATAGTTAGGCAAAACAACCAGAATGGAAGGAATGATGGAATGTGATGTGTGTAAATTCAACTAGTTTTAATCCCTACTTTTTATTAATAATTTGAGCACACAAAGGCAGTGAACCTGTCTTTAAGTG